TTTCTCTCTCTCCTCCTCTCTCTCTCTCCTCTCTCCATCTGTCTCTGCCTCTGTCTCTCTGTCTCTGTCTCTGTCTCTCTCTCTCTCTCTCTCACACACACACACACAGGCTCTCTCCCCTCCCTGCAGCATTCATCCAGCATACTAGGCACCCACCACCAGCCCCCTCAGCCAGCAGAGAGGGCCTGGGCTCCCAGCCACGCTCCACCCACACTTCTCCCGTGACACTTATCTCCCCATCCTGCCCCCCAGCTGCCAGAGAAGCGGACTATCTCCTGCAGACAGTTCCCAAGCTCAGCTCTATCAGAACAGTGTTTGGCTTCTCCTACTGGAGCTTGCCTGAGACTTGTTATTGAGCAAGTAGATCATGTCATTCATCAACCAGAACTGACAAACTGCCAGGTCGGGCCCTGGGTCCAGAAGCACAGAACAAGCAAAATGGGACACTTGCCCTGAGAACCTACAGAGATGTCATGGGTTGAATGATGATGGCTCTCAAAAACCAGGGATAAGCCCGCAGCCAACCCTCTGTAACCGGAGAATGCAAACTTCCCTGGAAAAGGGGTCTTTGCAAATGTAATTAAGATCTCAGGATGAAGCCATCCTGGGTTTAGGGTAGGATCTTGTTATGATTTGGTCTTCAATGGCCCCAAAGGTGAATGTGTTGTAGATCCAGTGTTGAGCATGTAGCCATGTAGACTGTTGGGAAGTGCAGCCTACTGAAAGTTAGGTGGGGGGGGGGGGGAGGGAATGATGCCCTTGATGGGAGCTGCAGGCCCCTGGCCCCCTCCTTATTCTTCTAGTATACTTCCTGGCTAGGAGTTGTAGCTTTGCTCACATCATGTGTCACCTCTCAAAGGACTCCAAAGCTGTGACAGTCCACTCCTTGGCCTCGGTCCTGGATTGTCAAGGTCCTAGCTCAGCCACCGCTTTTCTGCAACAATCCACAATGGTCCAGGGAGCTTCACTCTTGATTCTCCTGCAGAGCTGTGCGCCCAGGGAGCCCTAGAGTCGAATCCCCCACCAGGGCACTAAAGTGAAGGAAGAGTTCCCCAAAAGACCCAGGAGAAAGGGGACAAAGAAGACACACAGCACAAAATTCTTCTTAGCCCTGTTACTCATGGACGCAGTGTTTGGGGACTTTTTATTTTAGGAATTCTTGCGTTTGGAAGTTATTTTCTTGCAGGCTGAAGCCAGAGAACAAAAGCCCTCAGGTGAGCTGTCATGGGAGTGGAGATTGCTACCTCTACCCAGGTGTCTCCAGCCCACCCTGGCTGCGACTTCCTGCAGAGGTCACTCTGGGGTCAGAACCACTGGCATGGCCCCCGGCAAGGAATCCGGGGAGGCTATTTCCAAAGCTGTAAAGTAGAATAACGATTAATAAATATCATTGTTGGTCGATGGGAACAACGCCGGCCTTCATTTCTTTATTTGCTGGCCCATTTGGTGAAGCACTTAAGCAGAGCCCAGGCCAACATACACACTTAACGGTTTTAATTACATCCTGTGAATTTATTTTTCCAGAGAGAAATATTTCTGGGGAAATGTCTATAAAAGCAACTTTAGCCGAGTGTGTGTGTGTGTGTGCGTTTCCTATGGGAAACCTGTTTACTGACTTTACACTGACAAGGACCCTGCTGACAGCCCTGGCGGGGGCCGTGTGGAGGCTGAGAGGATCGCCCGGCCTGCTCGGCCCGGTGTCTTTCTGGGAACTGCCCCACACCGCTCGCTCTGCGTTTCCACCCAGAAATTCTAAATTGCTCTTAGAAGACCAAAGTTGACTGGGTTTTATTTTTTTCTGCTTTTAAACACTGGGAACTTTCTGTTACCTCTCCTGAGATTCTTTTAGTGCACTGGCAGTTCTTAGCAATGGGAAAGGGACATTTAACCTCATTTTTATAGTTCTAAGGGAAGGCACAACTTCGAACTCTTTTCCAGTGATGGTATTTGGGAAAAAGGTGTCTGTGGACCAGAGGCCTTGGCTCTAGTGGAGCAGAAGCCCACCCATCCCGCCTTCTGCCTGGTCCTATCTGGAGGTCACTTGGCTCTGGGGGTCTCCGGCATGCTGTGGAAGACTGGACTCCAGTCCTCCCTGCCCCCAAAGGCAAGAAGAGCTAAGGGTCCTTTTGCCATTGCAAGGCCCTGCCATGCATTTTCCATACCAGAACGGGGTAACCACTCCCCATGGGAGTGCAGCCCTGCTCCGTGTGTACGTCCTCCTCTTGGTCTCGGGAAGTCCTCCTGTCCCGATGGACTGGGGCCCAGCCTCCCTCCTCCCAGGGCGCAGCCAAGGATGACTTCTTCCCAGACAGCCTGGCAGCTGAGTGGGCTGCTCCCCACCCAGCAAAGCCCTGGCAATAGCATCACCAGTGCCTCCCTCACACCCCAAGTTCACAGCGGTGAAAACAGCACAAGTGTTGTGCATGGCCCTCGGGCCCTACTGGATCACCAACAGAATTCTGGCAGGTATCTGGGGCGCTACCAGGGAGGACCAGGCCCCCCAGGAGGCCCAGGCCACCTGGGCCCCAGAAGCAGCGGCTAAGACCGGGCCAGCAGGCATTCTGGTCCCTGCCCTGTGGTCTGGGCTCAGGCACAGGGCCCGTGTTTTTGTTCTCACATTTTTGTTCTCATGGGACTGTGTCTGTGGGAAGATGTGGAAGTAGAGAAGCAGCAAAGCTTCTGGACCCAATGGCAGTGATGTTCTCTAGGACACCCATTTTGTGTGCAGTCCCTCTTCCGAGCGCCCTGACTGGCCGCGGGTGGGGGCATAAAGCAGGTCTCCACTGCACTCACAGTGGGGTGGGCAGCCTCTGTTCAGATGCACCAGACTCAGGCACCCGTGGGTTTTAGCCAGCCCAATGCCACATGTCATCATCTTCCCACTGCTCTTCCTGAGTCATGAAGCTCCATCTCACCTTCCACATATGGAGTCATTTGCAGCCTGTTTGTATCTGTCCGTCCACTTAGAATTTGGCACTTGCTGATTCTAGCAAGAAGGTAGAAGGCCCAAGGGGCAGGGCCACCTAAAACTTGGGATCTAGGTGTTTTTGGTGAAGTCCTTCTTCTGACGATGAATGGAAGACTCGGCTCCCTGACGGGACAGGGGAAGCCCTGCAGAATGTCTGAGGCCCAGGCATCTGCTTATTCCAGAGGTGGACCTGTGACCTCATCAGGCAGAGCCAGCATCGTAGTTCTCATGCCCGGGGGAACCCATTGCCCCTTCACAGCCTCGGCGGGCCACCGTTCCACTCAACAGGTTCAAATCAGCAGGGGACCACATTAATTACCATTCAAACCCAGAAGCAGGGAGGGATGATTTTGGCCAAGCCAGTAGAAAAGGCACAGATAAACGAGGCAAACCGGAACTGTGACCGCCCCCCTGAGGGGTGATGACAGCACCTGTGTAGATCCACAGCCAAGGCTCACACTAGCACCTGGTGAGCAGTAAGCCCCCAAGCAAGTCAAACATAGCACTTACAGAAATACTACGACTGTAAAATGAGCCGTGTGATGGTTTGTCATGACTAAGGATATTAAAATATTTGCTGAGACTAGAAGATGAAGGTAAGAATGCAATGAAAAACAAGTTGGGCACGCTAAGTCCAATTAGGATCTTGCTGACGGGCTGTGGGCAGACACCTTCCCGCTGCCCGGAGGGAGGTGGGCTCTGAAGCCCCTCCTGTCTCAATCACTTCTTCACAACGCTGTGATTCTTCTCTGGCCACCAGTGAGTAGCTAGACTAGCTTCTGAATTCCTTTTCCTTTTGGGAAAGAGCAATTTGCTTGGTCTAAGAATCCTATCATTGGGGCTGGAGATTTAGTTTAGTGACAGCCCCAATGTTTACAAAATCATCTTCTGGTCCAGGAAGGGATGTATAGTTCATGTGGTAGCAAATGCAAGGTTCTGAATTCAAAATTTTGGCAGAGAACTTTTTTGTAAAGCCCTTTAATTAATCTGTGTCTACTGACTCAGAGCCCAGAAGGAGCAGATGCTGCTAACAGTGACCACCCTCTCCCTCCCTCCCTCCCCTGACACACTTGACCTAGTTGAGCTGGTATTGCTTGGATACTGGCATACTCCAGCTTTGTTATGTCAGATTTGTGGGGACCATGAACAAGATGATGGCTCGGCCCCTTTGGGTGCAGACAGACGTTCCAGAGTAAGACATGTGCACAGTATGTGATTTAATCTCTGTCGATACGAGGCCTTGAACACATGACCTCATTTGTCTGAGGCCTCACTTCGAAGGTTTTCTTGGAGTCTCAGGAAGCTGGTGATTTGAGCTGCTGCTGTTAGACATCAACAGCCAGTGAAAGAAAGGTCAGCACACAGAAGACAAATGTGGGCAGGGCAGGACAGGACCACAAACAAGCGGTCAGACTGCTGTGCAGTACTTGTCCACACACCTAAGGTAGGCTCCACCACACTCCAACCCCAAACTGCACTCCTGTCAGGAAAGGCTGTCCCCCAGAGTTCAGTCACTGTTCTCTCACAAAGCATGAATATCAAAGCAGAAAGCCTGCATTTCAGTCTTGAACTGGTTTTTTTCCAAAGGCTTACATATTTCCTTTGATCATAAATTAGTGCCAGCTGAATTTATAAATCAAATTCTTCAAGTTTGACTCCAGCATTCCTTGAAAACTCACAAACCACAGCAGAGGAAAATATTTTAAAATATCATATGTATATTTCCCTCAAAGGTATTAAATAAGATTAGGATTTGTCTATTACAAGTGCAGTAATAATCATATGTGGAGGCCTTCAAACTGATCTTAAAATTTCAAAATGTTTTCAAAATTTTAAGAAATGGTCATCTGTCTTACAAACCTTCAGTCAGTATCAGAAAAGGATGTGTGTGGGGGGAGGGGAAGGGCAGAATTGCAAATCATAATACAAATGAAAAGATGTCTCTCTGCACACATTTGAAAATTAAAAATTCAAAAGCTTATGGTCTGTTCCATGCATAAACTAAATTGCACAATCCAAACACTTTTAGAAAAAATAGCTGATTATTTTAATGACATATATAAAAGAAAAATAAACTTTATCATACAATTTAGTAGACTATTCATACAAAATTTTACTCTCATACAATGTATATAATTTTTTGCAACACAAAAATTCTATTTATAAATTCCAATTCATAAAGGACATTTATCAGAAGAGTCTACACAGGGTTGTGGTAAAGTCATCCATAGAGTAGAGAAGAGATTTTCAATATAACTAAGGGCTGGCTAATAACAGCCGTTCTCCTCCCAAACAGATCCACAGAACTTCACATGCTCTTGTGGAGGGAGAAGCCTGCACATTTAAGAATGGCACATCCAAACTGCCCAGCTTTGGAAGCCCCGTCACCACCTTACTAAGGATTCATTCTGCAAATGCACTAACAAAACGCAACCAAGCCATCTGTGCTGATCTGCAAAGAAACAAAACTTTCTCAGGCAATTATCTTAACATGGCCCCAGTCCACAGAATAAAGATGAAATTCAGAAACACAAGGATTAGAACCTAGATCCACATGTCTCTCAGCAATGACACCCTTCATACAATAATGTAAAACCTGACAAGTATTTACAACAGTATTATATGTAAGTGAAAATTAGATGTTTCACTAAAAAATACCATTTAATAAAAAGTAAGTTACATAAAAAAATGAATCAGATCATCCTTTTAGCTCCTAAGTTCTGTGTCTCAGGTACACGCATCTGTGCAAAAGGAAGAGGACCAAAGCCACTGTCTTCTACAGAACCCCTCCAGGGGCTCTGTCAGGAGCTGTCTGGAGACAGAACAGGCAGCTGCTGAAGAAAGCGAGGATGTGCTTACATGTCAGATGCTGCCCATCGTCAGTTTGCCAATGACAAGTGCTAGAAAGGCAAGCGTATGATAACAGGGCCAATGAGGTAACTACATATACAAGTAGATACAATTATAAAGGAAGGAGGGGAGAAGAACCCTTAACAGTTCTTATGTTCCTCATGAGGGTACAGGCTGAAATTCACCCTTTTCAAATGGAAAATCAAAGTAAAATGTAATAATTCTTAGGTCATATTCTATTTATAAAGTACCTATCAGAAAGCACACAGCCATTCTTCGTTCTGTGCTGAGGTACAAAGTCCTTTCAGCAGACTGGAAACAAAGGGCTGCTATTTCCTTGCTGGGTGTACATCACTTACCTGCTGGCAAAGTCTGGTACAGAGCTAAACGGGCTGCAGCAGAAACACAGACAAGAGGTTGCAAAAACCAGACTCACAAAGGCATTTTGAAGAGCTATTTATAACTAGCAAGTATTCCAGCTGGAAAGAGGTAAGAAAACAGTTTTAATTCACTTAATATGCCTTCGTCTTGAAGCTCTGGACTTAGCTGGATGAGGCGTGGCACTGAGAACAGTCGGTTTTCTTAGCACACTGGGAGCTAGAGGTCTACCTTCCTACCCTCCTCTGCACTCCTACACAGGGGGATTTCTCCTTCACAAGCAAGTGTTCACCTTCGAGAGGTCAAATTGATGCTATAGACCATCTTCTGGATTTTCTCCTCATTCCTCAGGATGTTGGCCTTTACTGCACAGATCTTGTCCTGCTGGTCTTTAATCTGTTGCTCAAGCTCGGCCAGCTCGACCTTCAGGGGCTCCACGGCACAGTCTGTGATCCTGACAGGGAACAAAGATAGCTCTCATCAGTGTCCTGACAGCTCTACTCTTGTGTCTTATGAAATAAAATACCCAAAGATGAGAAAAGTACAGGACTGATTGCATCCCAAGAAAAACTATAAAATACGCATTTCTGCCATGCTGATGTAAAGGCCAAAGCACTCACACCTGACCACGGCTATTTTGTGTTCCTACTGTCCCTGCCACATCCCCGTGCTAATGCCAATGCTAATGCCAACACGAGGCCCATGCTTTCCAGGATGGGTTTCAAGTCCCGAAATTATGTGAGAAACAGAGTTCCTAAAATGCAGTTACAGGGTCCCCATGATACCAAGGACCTAGCCTGGACTGGGCCAGGGCTCCTGACCACCACCACAGGCTCAATGTGCAGTTGCTGAGCAACTCCTGGCTGCAAAGCTGTGACAGGTGACCTGTGGGCAAAGTGCTGGGCTAAATACTTAGGGCCACCATGGAATACACTTGGGAAAGCTAAAGTCAAGATGAACTGCTTCCTCAAGCCTCTGGAAGCCAGAACACAGAACACAGAAGAGTGGCAGGTCTAACTTTCAAAGCAATGAAGCAAAATCGGGCTTTGTAAGGCCGAAATGACTGCAACAATACTTTCAATGTAGTAAAAGCTAACCAGTTACCACAAGAGAACAAACCCCAAAGAATTCCTGGTGGTTTTCTTACTTACTTCATGTTGAATATTTTAAATTATACACTAAAATTTTGAAGAGACATTTTGAGAATAAGCTGGCTAATAAAAGAATCTCTATATAATGTAGCTTTTTATTATATAGACTTATAGATGGATGCACTGAGTTAAATCATTTTCTTGAAAAAAAAACCTTAATAGTTGATACAGTTACATGCTTCCTGGTTTACTAATTTTTAAACATAGGACAGCAAACCCTTCCCTAAAATAAACCTCATTTTTTAGTAGTTATTATAGTTTTCTTAAAATTGCAATTTTTAATGGGTTAACCAATTGTAATCAATCTTGGAGAATTATGATTAAAAAAAAAATTGAAAGCTGTGTACCAGAGGCTCATGTATGTAATCCTAGCTATTCAGGATGCTGAGATCTGAGGATCAAGGTTCAACGGCAGCCTAGGCAGGAAAGTCCATGAGACTTTTATCTCCAATTAACCAACAACAAAAAAAAATGGAAGTGGAGCTGTGGCTCAAGTGGTAGAGCGTTAGTCTTGAGCACAAAAGCTCAGGGACAGCACCCAGGCCCTGAGAACAAGCCCCAGGACCAACACACACACACACACACACACACACACACGCACACACGCACACACGCACGCACGCACGCACGCCGCACACACTACCTGGAAAACAACAATATCCAAACTGTAAGGTTTTTGGTTTTGTTTTGTTTTTTTGTGAGTCATGGGGCTTAAATTCTGGGCCTGGGAGCTATCCTCAGCTCTTCAGTTCAGGCTAGAGCTCTACCACTTGAACCACAGCACCACTTCCAGTTTTCTGAGTAGTTTATTGGAGATAAGAGTTTCTCATGGGCTGGGAAGGTGGCTCAGTGGTAGAGTGCATGTCTTGCATGCCAGAGGCCCTGGGTTCGATTCCTCAGCACCACATAAGCAAAAAGCCGGAAGTAGTGCTGTGGTTCAAGTGGTAGAGTGCTAGCCTTGAGCTGAAGAGCTGAGGGACAGTGCCCAGGTCCAGAGTTCAGGCCCCACGACTAGACCCCCCCCCCAAAAAATAGAGTTTCTCAGTATTCCTGCCCCAGCTGGCTTTGAACAGTGATCCTCAGATCTCAGCCTCCTGAGTAGCTAAGATGACAGGCATGAGTCACCAGCGCCTAGTGGTTTTTTGTATTTTTTAATGTTTAAGTTGAGTTTGTCTATGAGCAGAAACTCCCTTGTCTTTTCTGATTGCTATAAAGAAATCTTTGCTGTGTTAAATGAAGAAATACCAATTTTCCTTGAGGGAGGAGGTGACGCTTGAGAGGCAGTGATTTGGAGGGAGATTTCTCTGGACAGATTACAGCCCCTAATGTCCTCTAATCTGCCCACACACACCTCTGCTCCTTCTGCAATGTCCCCTTCTTCCACCTCGGCTCCATCTGCAGTGTCTCCATTTCCCACCCCTGCTCCTTCTGAAGCCCCACCCCTGCCCCAGCGGCTGCTCCTTCTCCAGGCCGCCCCCACCTCTGCTCCTTCTGTAGGGCCTCGGCATGCTGCTTGTTCTCGCTGCGCCACAGCTGCAGCTCATTCTGCATGGCATCCACGTCCTCCTGGATGTAGTCCATGATCTTGCCCAGGGGAAGGGCACTTTTGCATAGGGTCTGGATAGACATGCGCAGCTTCTCTATCTCCTTAGAAACAATGTCTTTCTCCTTCTTCCACGCAGATTCAAAGACAAGCGATTTCTCCTGCAGTTGGGAAAACCAGAAAGAGCGAGAAGCATCCTCAACTCTAAGGCAGGGAAGGCTTGCTAGGCACCCGGCTGCAGGGCCGGTCAGAAGGCATGGGATGGAGCCCAGCTGGCTAGTGACACAGAGAGAGCAACACCACCTGGCAGGGGAGGTGTGAGGTGCTCCGTGCCAGGGGAGCACACAAGGATGAGGGGCCAGTCCTGCATCTCTGTGTCCCAAATGACTCCTCCTCACTAAGGAAGGAAGAAAGTAATTGTCACAGGTGACTTGGCCTGAAGACTTGTGTGCGTGTGACTTGGCACACGCACGCACACACACACACACACACAGAGGCAGAGTAAGGTCTCTTCAAACTCTTCTTGCAGACATCTTTGCATTTCAAGCTTTGATGTGCATTGGTAAGCATCAATAAGCAAGTCAGCTTAGGAGACCTTTCCTGGAAAACGGATGCTCTTCAGAAACCCCTGGACCTCCCTGACCCAGAGTTTAGACTGGTTCTGGGGGCATTGCTGCTCCACTCACAGGAAAAGCTGCCATGAGTCAACTCAATATAATTGCCTGTATTGCTTCTAAAACTTGCTTCACAATGTAGGCTCGTGGGGGACTAGGTCTAGATCTGTTGTGGACCTTACAGGCTTTCCTAAGTATATGTTGCTGAAAATGGAATGAACTAATAACTTACCTATTAGGATCCTAGTTCCACCAATTACCAACTTGGGCAAGTATAAGGAAAGCCATAGCATAATGGTGGCATACAGAAAATATTTAAGTAAATAGTAAATGAGACTAGAAATAAAAGGTAAAATGAATTCACTCACGCCCTAATGAATGAGTTCAGTAAGACAACAGGATGGAAGACAAACATGAACATCAACTATGTTTCAACGTAAGAGAAATAATCAAGTATAAATCAAACAGAACACAGCCAGAAGTTGTATATGAAAGACTTCACTTGAAAGACTTCAGATGAAAGAAATTCAATGAGATGACCTATATAAATGGAAAGATGGCCTAAATAAATGGAAAGATAGCCTAAATAAATGGAAAGATATATCATCTTCATGGACAGGAAATTCAATATAGTAAAGATGTCAATTCTTCCCAAACGAATATACAAGTTAAGTTTAAGCAACTCCTACAATTCCAGCCAAATTTTCTGAATAGCTAAGATTATTCTAAGATTTATACAAAAGGCAAAAGAACCAAACTAGGCCTAATAAAGATAAGAGTGAGATCAGCCTACTCAGTTTCAAGCCTTTTTATATAGCTACCACAGAGACTAAGGAATATTTATAGATTGGTACAGAAGATAAGACCAGGAAATCCAAAAACAGACACCCATATAAATACTCCAAATAGTTTTTTGAAAGAAAGCATAGAAAGAAATTAAATAGCAGTGGAACTACTAGATATCCATAAGGGAAAAAAAGTATCTTGGACTAATATTACACTTTAACCCAAAATGGATTATGGATGCAAATAAAAAGATTTAAAACTATAAAACTTTTGAGAAAAAAAAAACATAAGGATAAAGGGAGCTAGAACTGGGTAAAGAGTTCTTAGACCACCAATACCATACCTCATAAAAGGAAATAATAATAAACTATTTTACCAACATCCAATATTTACGTATGGATATCTATATATCTAAATCTCCATATATCTACAACATATAAACGTTTAAAGTACCACAGCAAGTAAACAAACTAATCAGAAAACAGGTAATAAACAGACATTTCTGTTAGGAGAACTTGCAGATGGTCACCAAACACATCAAATATGATCCAAAGCATTAGCTACTAGGGAAATGCAAATCCAAGCCACCATGTGACCTTACTACATAGCTACCATTATGCTTCAAATAAAAATCGGGGACATCAACTTCTAGTGGAAAAACTGGTTCTGGTTCAGTTATAATTGCTGCTGGGGGGGGGGCGGAGAAAGTCAGTTTCTTTAAACAACAACAACTAAATGTGCACCTAGCAGTGTTGTGATGCTCATGTGTCCGATGCCTGATCAATGTTTGAGTGGTGGCTGCATTGTGAAGGCTCTGACTTATCAATGGGTTAAACCACTGATGCATTGACAGCGGAATGGACTGTTAGGTATTGGGTCCCCCTGGGAGATGCCTTGTAAGGGTACATCTTGTCTTTGGGCCTTCTTCTCTGTCTCTCTGCTACCCAGCCACCATGAGGTGAGAGCTCTGCACCACCCACCATCTCCAATGATGCTCTGCCTCACCACAGGCTTTGCTCATAGCACTGGAACCAGCTAACAATGGACTAAAGCCTCTGAGACCATGATCCCAAGACAAACTCCTCTCTTTAAGTAATTTTCCTCAGGCATTTTATTACAGTGAGGGAGAATGGGCAAATATACATACAAGCCATCAGTTATACTCTAGACATTGGCTCAAAGAGATGCAAAGTTATATTCACACAAAAATCCTATACACAATGTATACAGATAGTATTTTCAGTAGTCAAAGGCTAGAAACCACTCAGATGTCTTAACTGGATTAAATAAACTGTGTACATCTACCCCATGAAAAAGTAACCAGCAATGACTGAACTGTTGGGACCCACGACAACCTGGACAAATCTCAGCGAATTTTGCTAAGTAAAAATGTGAGACCTGAATGTCACAAGCTAGAGGCTCCCTTTCCTTAAACATGTTTGAAAAACCTAGAGAACAGATGGGTGGTGGCCAGGGCTTAGAGGAGGAAGAAAAGGACGATAAGGTTACAAAGTGCACTAGACAGATCTCTCTCTCTCTCAGAGCTCTCTCCCCTTTCCTCTCTCTTCTCCTTTCTTCTCCTCTCCCCTCTCCCCCCCCCCCATCATGGGGCTTGAACTAGGGCCTGGGCATTTTTGTGCTCAAGGCTAGTGCTCTACCACTTTGAACCACAGGTCCACTTCCAGTTTTTAGGTGGTTAATTGGAGATAAGAGTCTCATGGCCTTTCCTGCCCAGACTGGCTCCAAATCATGATCCTCAGATCTCAGCCTCCTGAGTAGCTAGGATTACAGGTGTGACCCATCAGCACTTGGCACAAGCCAGATCTTAACTGTACCAGGTCAACACAGTTGTTCTGATGGCAAACCACACTCTTATACAATGAGACCCAAGGGGAGGTGGGGACAGACCGCACAGTGTATCTCTAGTGCTTCTTCCAAATGCAGAAGAATCTATAGTTACCTCAAAATAAAATAACTGCTGCAACTAGGAGGCAAGAGCCACACAAATGCCTTTGAAGTAAAATGTCAGACAACTAGGAGGAATTCGATGCAGTAATAAACTACTTTCCAAGGAAGAAGACATACTGTCTTCATCATACACAAAGTGCTACTTCTCTCAATAATTTCTAGGAGAAGTGTGAAGTCCTACTGCAGCCATCCACAGTGATTACCAAGCAGCTCTGTGCACTGGCCTCATGCTCACGCAACATAAGACTGTGTGGCTATAACTGAGGGTGGGAAAATAAGATGCAAGGATGCCAAATGAAGTCTGGAGTTACAATGTGGACACCGATGTGAACGCAACCTGGCCGCACTCCTTCCTATTTCTGATGGCTAGTCAAACTCCTTCTCACTTCTGTATCACATAATCAGCAGAATTTGGAATGCTAGGCTGAAAGGTTTTAGCGTTAGGGTATTAAAATTGAAAATAGGACACACTTGGGCAGGATTATGCTATCAGGGAGACTTATTATTCTAAAAGACACTGGGACACACTGCTGGAAAGCATTACAAGTCTGGCAAGTGTCAAGCTCTGACTTAAATCAACAATCAGGGGGAGGTGGCTGACTCCACCAGGGACGATGCTGTAGACAGCCCACCTTGACGACAGGCTGATTCACACACAGCTCGTGCAGAAGCAGCAGCTACTCCCCAGATAAACACAACCTTGTTTTAAAGACTTAATACATCTAGTAAAATGTGAGAATCCACACCACACTTGCCACACAGGAATTCATTATATGAAATATTATGTTTTAGAAGCAGAGTATAAAACTGCTGAAAGTCTCCCATTATACAAAATACCACCTAAATAAGCCTGGCAGGCGGTGGCAAGCACGGAACAAGCAGTAAGGGTCTTGCAACTTAGGAACCTGGCGCCAGCCCCACCCTTTTACAACACCCCCTTCCTTGGAAGCTTGAGACTTGGCTGCTGCACCTCAGTTCCTCACAATAAAGTGGAAATAATAATATTTATCCTGCAGGTAAGACTCAGTGGGCTGACAATCAGATGAGTGCCTCACACACTTCAACAGATGTCACCTACTATGGTAAATGGATTTCCAAAAGCAAAGAAGGCCCAGCCCACGCACAGGAAACATGGCATTGAGCTGAACACTACAAAGAGCCTGGAGTACTTTGGTGCCTACTAAAAATCAGTTCATAGATACGGTCAACCCAACCTAGCAAGCTATTCTGCCCAGCTTTAACTGGATCAGTTATTTTATTAAAAGCAATTTACCAGCCAAATTCTAATGGCTCATACCAGTAATCCTAGCTACTCACGAGGCTGAGATCTGAGGATCACAGTTCAAAGCCTGGGCAGGGAAGTCCCTGAGACTCTTAGCTCCAAAACATTTCTCAAAAATAGCTGGATGGGGCTGGGAAGGTGGCTCAGTGGTAGAGCGCTTGCCTTGCATGCATGAGGCCCTGGGTTCGATTCCTCAGCACCACATAAGCAGAAAAAAAAAAAAAGCCGGAAGTGGCGCTGTGGCTCAAGTGGTAGAGTGCTAGCCTTGAGCTGAAGAGCTGAGGGACAGTGCCCAGGCCCAGAGCTCAGGCCCCATGACCGTACCAATAATAATAATAATAATAATAATGTTCTAGCTATAAGGCCCCTGGGTCTTGCCAGAGGCTCTGAGGAGCGGGACACAGCGCCACACAGGGCCGGGCGCCTGCCTCCTCAAGCTGGTGGCTGCCTACTGCCTGCTCTGCTGCTGCATCTGGCTGGAGAGCCACACTCTAGAAATGGAACAAAAGCA